TTTCTTTACTCTGAAGCATCCTGTCTGCTGCTGATCATATACATACAACATTTAGAGTTATTCACATTGAAAGAAAAATAGGAGGTGGTAGAGTCACTTTTTTTATCTGATAACACCAATTGGTTGAAATGCAAGAGCTTTATCTTGTCAAATCACATTCAGTACACCCACAGTATTTTTTCTTATGTGTTTATCTTGGTATGCGTGTCAAAGAAAAGTTGCCATTGCGTGATCTAGTGATATCAAATTTGAACATTTACTTTAATTAAATGCGTCCTGTGTGTTGTGTTGACTCCCATTACAGAAACATGTGACTTTTATGCCCTCACAGTGTAAATTAAAGTGGACCTATCATGCTATATTTAAATGATATATTGTAGGGCCATACCTATATAAGGTATATTTATACGTTTCTGTTTTCAAAATACCAAACAGATCATGCATTTTAGCCATGCCTCATTTCGCTCTATGTGCTGTTTGCTGTCTACGGGTCTGATTCTGCTGGAGAGGGGAGACGTGCTCTGATCAGCTGCTGGGCTGTCAGAAGAGGGGGAGAAAAAGAGATCTCAGTCCTCCGTGTTTTATTATATAGAGTCGTTATTCATTTGTTTTAAAGCTCAATAAATAACAAAGAAGACCTTTGACCGGCACTTTTCTAATTTTGTCCGGAAGATTTAAACTTTAACGGACATCTTGACCGGCGAAACAAACTGAAACTGAAACTCTGCCGCACGGTCCCCTCGTTCCTTGGAAGAGGCGGAGAGGTGGGTGTTTGTCATCTGCTGGTGGACTAACCGGAGAGAATTACAGTGCTTGCCTCGATTGCTCAATGCAATCCCTCCCCGCAAGCGTTTGCAGCGGGAGCAAACGCTTGCCTCGGGGAGGGAGAAAAAAAGCCACAGCGGAGAATAAACAGAAGGGTAACCATGGTAACTATGGGCGGGAAGTCTTCTTCGCTGCTTTTGTGGCAGACTACAGCGCCACTTACAGGCCTGGCATATGTACTACAGCGTCTCCAGCGCTTTCGAGCGGCAATGGCCGGCCGTGGCCCAACCCCACATTCCCCTGATAGGTGGAGAGTTGCCCCAATAGCCGTAGTGCCACCGTCCTGACGTCAGAACAGTGTTCAAATCTGGATCAGTTTTTATCAGATCCGTTGCAGCCCCTTTTTTAGAGATTTGGGTATGGAGGAAAATAGAGAGGGTTGTGTTTTCTGACACTTGGTGAGTTCCCTGGAACACCGGGGACACATAGTCATGTATAAAAGACGTACAAAAGTGCATTTTGCATGATCGGTCCCCTTTAAGTTAGAAAATTCACAACATAAACCAGTGTCTGTATTTAAACCAAAGTAAAGCCTTACTTCAGATTCAGTGGAGATCCATCCACCCATTTCCAGGTCGCATCCTCTCTGTCACTCAAACCAATCCATGCATTTGACTTGGTAAACCAAAACATAAGTATCTGTTAAAGAAGAACTTTAGCTATTACCCCAAATATCTGTGGTTTACATAATCTCAACATAAATGAAGAATGTTGCGTGAGAAAGACTAATTTTTTCAGCTGTTTATGATCAAAACCATACGTATTGATTGAATATGTTACATCTGGTGTTAATTAGATGACCCTTAGAATCTTATAACTCTGAGCTTGAAGTCAGAATTCAGACTTTTTATGACAACTTGGTAAAAATTGGTGGTGTTCAAAACAAGTAAATAGGGGCAGGAATATCGATTATAATAAACGCATTCAAACACATTCAATATCACACACACACACACACACACACACACACACACACACACACACACACACACACACACACACACACACACACACACACACACACACACACACACACACACACACACACACACACACACACACACACACACAAGTCAATGGGAACTCCCTGTTAGTTGAAACTCGACGCAAAAGGGCCGAGTTGGAAAGTGACGACAGGGACCCTGACATAACGTCAACAAAGGCCGAATTGGGAGTGAGAATGTGTTGTACAGGAAGCCATGATTTCCCAACCTGTCAGGGAGCCATGGGTCCACGCTCCTGAACGGTATGACGCTGATGTGGGATTGTGTCAGTCTTAAGGCTAAGATTGCTTTCCTCATGGGTCTCCTCGGGAAAGCACTTTGGAGTAGGTGTCAGCCTTGTGGCACTTTTGGAATCGTTTCAGGGGTTCTCAGCTGAGATGTGGAGGGTGTTCGACGGCCAATGAAATCTATTCTGTTAAATAGAGATACATAAACTTACCCATAAAGGTCAATAATATTGGCAGTTCTTGATTCATCCCTTTTGACAGGTTTTATTTTTGGAACAGGGAGACAAAGGATAAATGTTTCATCTGGATTTTAACAACATTTCAAAATATTTAAATGTGTTCATGATTACATAAATACACAAATAAACTATAAATGACCTCCTGAACAAAATACAATTGAAACTGGATGAAGCCAATTTCCAAACAGTCCAAATCAGTTGTGTGCATTTCACTTTTTGTAATTTCTTTCCTCTGAAGTACTAAAAAAAACTTGGCCGGAAAGAGTTCGTCACTTTGAAAAAAAAAATAGGAAACTGTAGAGTTGCTTTTTTATCTGATAACACCAATTGGTTGAAGTGCAAGAGCTTTATATTGTCAAATCACTTTCAGTACACCTACAGTATTTATTTGTAGGTGTTTATCTTGGTATGCATGTTCAAAAAAACTTGCCATTGCGTGATCTAGTTATATTAAATTTGAACATTTATTAAGTACTGCAATTGACTTCAAATAACATAACTTTTACTGCAAATCCTGCAACACACACACACACACACACACACACACACACACACACACACACACACACACACACACACACACAATAATCGTATTTAATAATCGTGATATCAATATTGACCAAAATAATCTTAATTAAGATTTTTGCCTTAATCGAGCAGCCCAAGTGAGGTCCCGATCATCGCTGCTTGAAGCTTTAATTCTTATTGCCTAATTATTATGAATTTTTTCCTACATTTTAATCCCTCATTATTGCAAGAGACGGTACATGTAAATTATCAAGGGCAACGGTCAAATACAAATTTGTTAGTACTCAACAAGATTTATTTTTGTTCTTGTTATATTGTATCGTCAGTGTGTTGGAGAACCAAATCTGTTATGTGTCAGTAAAACCTTCTCTCCTTTTTCTCTCTCTCGCTCTCTCTCTCACACACACACACACACACACACACACACACACACACACACACACACACACACACACACACACACACACACACACACACACACACACACACACACACACACACACAGTACTTTTGATGATGTGTTTCTTGCATAAATACAATATCTCCACCTTGATGTTTCATTTGTGTAAGCACTTTTTTAATTGGGTAGTTTTATTTAGGCCATTAACTATTAGTGAAATTATATTAATGTTCATAGTTTAAATTCTGTTGTTTTCTGTGTTGTAACAACTCTCCTTTACACATAGTTCTCCAATCACTTCTCAAAAATGCACCTTTTAGAGCTTCTAAACCTGTGTACATAATTTCTATCACCTTTCTTGTATTTTCCAACAGTGTATCCATACTTAACCCTGCACGGGTAAACTGAAAATAATGATAACACATGTGACAACAGAAAAAGAGAAAAAAGAGTGCGACTGCCATCTGTGTTACCAAGCACCTAAGGTAGCTGTCCAACGTTTTCCATGCATGGAACTGAGCATGGATCCTAGGGTCTGCTAAGACCCAGAGCTGCAAGGTCTTAAAAACAGCCCTATCAAATATTTTCATCTAGATAGTTTGAAATATGATGTCTGATGTCTGGGAAAATGGCAATAGCGTAGAGGATAAAACAAAACAAAACACCATCAATACGTCACACCTCTTAAGTGCTAAAGGTATCCTAGCAACTGTACCAGATAATTATCTATACATCTATCTCAAAGATATAAGGAAATGTTTGATTTTTTCTCACGCTGAGAGTCAAGACAAATTCAAATAAGCTTTATTGACATGCCCACATTTAAAACACACTATTGCCAAAGCACATTGACAATACAGATTTAAGACTGAAACAAGTGAGATAATCAATTCCATTGTGTTAAATAGAAGAGCTTTATCTTGTCAGAGAACATGTAATACACCCACAATATATTCATACGGTTTTTATCTTTGTATGCATGCTCAAAGAAAGTTGCCATCTAATTTGCCCATTTACTAAAGTTCTGTAATTAACTTCAAATAAAAGGCAGTTTACTTTTCAAATGAAACATGAGCAAATCCTGCAGTTAAAGTCCCAGATTATTATTGTGATAAACATACATACATTTTTGTATTAATTGACAGCACTAGTTCTTACAGTATGTACAAAGTGGCTGGTACCTATGCATGTTAAATACCTGCAATAGATTTGTACTCACATGGCCACAAGAGGTCATTGTTAGGAAACATACTGTATAACACACAGGCTATTTTACACATTTGAACAAGTTAGACCAATGCTGAGACTAGAGTATTGTTGTATATTTCTGAATTATTCAATAATGTTTGACAGTTTTTATTTTTCTTATTTGTATCATATTCTACTCAATAAGGCACCCTCAATATTATAACTTTCAGGAACTGTGGGCTTATCAGCAGATGTTTTTAATAAGCTGTTTTTATGTTGATATGTAAAAAGATTTAACATTTATATTTTATTAGACATTTTCAAAGACAAAAACATATGGACGAAGACATGGCTCAAACACATCACAAACAGAACAGGACAATAACATGAAGGGTGGGGGGATTACAGTGTCAGTTACATTTAATGCATGCATATGGCGTTGTATTTATACATCATAATATAGATATACTTCATTGTTTCCTCATTATTATTATAAAACAAAACATTTATCATAGATAAATAAATAGATAAATAGTCAAATAAATAAATTTCCCATTTAATTTCACTTCTTTCATTATTATTACCATTATTTTTCTGTTTGTTCATAGCTTATTTCTCTTTATTTATTCATTAATATTATTATAATTATTATATTTTCTATTGGCAGCCGAGATGGTTTGAGTCCAGGAAAGCCCTTATCTTATCCAAATGCCTGTTGTCTGGCTTAACCAAATATAACAGGGAGAAAGCAGCTTCGTCCATACTGAAGATGTTTAGGAAGTCCTCCAGCCATCTATTTCAATTGAAGCAGTTGGGCTTTCTGACTTTCCAGTTCATAAGAACGTTACATAAGATATGTAAAAGGATTAATACAAATACTAATTTAATTGAGGCAAACAAAAGTTGGCAAAAACTAATTAAATGACTATTTATTTATTACTGATATTAATCCTAAACAAAAACACTAACACTGTGATTCATCAATTCGAGCAAAGTAATTCTTATTTATGAAATCAGACACTTTGTATAGTTTTAAATAACTCAATTTAAACTAAATTGTAAAAGCATGATTGCATGTTTAGTATCCAAACAGACACCAATGTTAAGCTTCTTTCTCACAGATCCAATGCAGATGGTCCTCACAGGACCAGCCGTTCCACCAGGCGGAGGGACTGATGTTTACACAGTCCTCTTCGCCAATCTTTCGATCCCCTTCTCCATTATCCGGCTGTGTTTCGTCCCAAAACCTAACAGGTATTACAGGAAAACAAGATGAACTAAAAGATTGGACATCAAATACAAATAACTATAAGTAATACAGCCATGTTCTTTTCTTAACACCCAAATGAATCTTCTGGTGAAAGGGGCATACACCCTACGTTTAAATGCATCCTGTGTGTTGTGTTAACTCCCATTACAGAAACATGTGAAACATTTAGAAAGGTCACAACATAAACCAGCGTCTGTATTTAAAACCAAAGTAAAGCCTTACGTCAGGGTCAGTGGAGATCCATCCACCCATGTCCAGGTCCCCTCCTCTCCTCTGTAACTCAAACCAATCCAAGTGGCTTCCTTGATCTTGCTAGAGATGAATTTCTGTTCACATATCAAAAATGCAGTTTACTGGGATGGACATCAACATTCAGATAACTTTTCCCTTTTTACTAGCTCAGAAATATGTAATTAACACCATTGTTGTGACGTAATCATTATAGCTGATAGACACATTTGCTAGTATATGTACAATAAAAACATTATTGATTAATAAAAGCAGGGGGTTATACAATCACAAGTGTTAGACTAGCACACATTACCTGTTTTTTATTACTGTCTACGGTCACCAGATGTGCTCCTCTGGCTCTGCAGTTGTCTCTGCTTTGTTCCCAAGAAGCTTTCTCAGTAGAGAGGTTATAACAGGAACAACCGAACATCCTCCATCCTTCAGGACACGTTTTTGCTGTAAAAGTTTTAAGATCTTGTTGATTTACTGCTTTAACTGCTGAAATATGGAACTCTTGAGTGCATTATATGTCACTTTTGTAATAATAATGGAAAAACATATTTATTAAGCATTTTTAGAGGGATCAAAAGAGATCACACATTTCATTGCAGAACAACTGCTTCTCTTTTTTGGGATTTAAATAACTGTTTGGATGTGATCTAGTCAGGCACCACAGCACTGAGACTGATCTTGTTAAAGTCTTCAATGACATCCACTTAAACACAGACAGTGGCAACATCTCGGTGTTAGTAACTAGACCGACTGGAAAACTGGGTCTGACTTTCGGCAACAGTTCTAAATTGGTTTGAAACCTTGTTATCCTTTATTATTATTATTATTATTATTATTATTATTATTATTATTATTATTATTATTATTATTATTATTATTATTATTATTATTATTATGCTGCAAATATCTAAATTATATAAGCATAGTTTACAGAGAAATATAAATATGGTGGGTGAAGAAAAATAAAACAAACTATAAATTAAATCACTCAACACAAAGTCATTAAAAACAAATTCTTGATTATCATTAATGAAAAGTGTCATTGTGTAACTATTTTATGAAAGGATCAATAGTCAGCCTTAGAATATCAATATCGAGGTATTTTGTAAAAACATATTATGATAATTGATATCTTACACACACACACCGAGCCCTATGCAAATCCCCACATGAAGCACTGACCCTTACCCATCAAACTCTGAAGTCGGTCCACCAGCTGGTTGATCCGCTGATCTCTAACACCTACTGAGTTATGATCTGAAATGAAAATAGATGTTTCTTAAATTACCTGATGCAATCATACTGACACAAACCAAAATTAATGTTTTCCTAATTTGGCCCTAGGAGAAAAGTAGAAAAACTATGGATGTTTTGGTCAAATGTGCATCTTTCAGAGCAGAATATTGCTCCTTAAAATCACACGTTCAAAATGAAATTATTAAACATATTAAAAGAAAGACTCACAGTGGACAGCGAGGCCGATGAGTCCAGCCAGCAGGAAAACACTCAGCAGCCCCAGACCGAGAACAGACGCTCTGAGAAGTCTCCTGGGACCTGAACACAGAGAAGACCAGGGAGTAAAAAAAAGTACAGTAAATCCAAAATCCACAGTGCACTCTGTCTGACACTCTTACCTTCTTGTATTGTTGATGAGCTTGAGCTTAGGGTTTTGACATCAACAGCATTGTCATAGATTTTCTCCATTGCTCATGGGAATGCCAACTCTTTCCTAGAAGGTCAGCTCTGCAGCAAGTATCCTGAAGTATGTGACTGGGGAAAGTGTGGTTGCTGGTTTGAATTTCTAAATGCTTTATATTTTTGAGGAAGTCACACATCATTTGAGGAAGTAACACATCATTTGAGGAAGTCACAGGTCATTTTACATATAAAAAAAAAGAAGAAGATGATCAGGAAATACTAACTTTATTGATATGAAAATATTAAAAAGCACAGTGACAATAAAAATGTAAGACTGAAACAAATGTGATAATCATGTCCATTGTGTTAAATAGAGACATATAATCTTACAAAGCCATAAAGATTAATAATATTCAAAATATTCTGATCCTGTAAAGATCTATTTTACTGGTTAATAAAAGAGAATAGCATGTCATCATTGTGAAAGCAGCTACAAATATTTGTTGGCGTGAAAAGCTGGCTCTCTTGATGGCCCAAGGCACAAGACGAACTGGCACAGATATAAAGAATATTATTCTGTTAATGTAATTTTAGTTTCTGAAAGTTGAGACAATTTAAGTTACCTTTTGTTGAACTACTGTATAAGTCTTTCAGTCTCCCTCTCAGCTATCCACTCTCAGGGGAAAGCCGTACTGCAGACGCCAGCTGATGCACCACAACACCACTTCAAGCCCGGTGACTGGGTAGTGATCAAAGACTTCAGGAGGAAACACTGGAAGCAGCAACGGTTCCAGGGAAGTGGCGTGCCAAGCTATGAACACACGCATCAGAGGGTTGTGTTGTTCAGAGAGTTGTGTCGCATGTTTTCCGTTTCCTCATATAGGCTACATGTAAATAAAAGTTTTACACAGAAAAAAGTTTTACATATGTATTTTTGATCCACACATATTTGTTTTCCGTTTAAAACCGCTGCACCTGCAAACACAACCCGCTTTCTGTGCATGGATCGCTGTGCATTCATGTGTGGGTTTTTTGAGACTCCCCTGACGGTGACCCGATTCGTACTTTGTTCTATATAGCCAATCAAATGTCTCCTCCATTACATTACATGTTACCTGTTAGACGCTTTTATCCAAAGCATACATACTCAATATACTGTGGACAATACCCACAGGAGCAATTTGGGGTGAAGTGTCTTGCCCAGGGACACAACGACATGCTGAGTGCAGTGGGGTTTGAACCTGTGCTCCTCTGAGCCGAACACCAACGCACTAGACCACTGCGCCACAGCCTCCCCATTCTATATACACACACACAAACTAATTTTGCAGACCCTATCCCTCCATAGTCTTTCAAGTAGGAGGAGAAATGCCAGCGTTGTCCTCCGGTTTACAGGCACTGTGTAAATTATATATATAGAATAATTATGATGATGAATGCATTTTTTTACCACTAAAATACAGCAACACATCTTTGATTCATGTCGTTTATAACTGGAATATTACAGTTATTATTAACTTTGTCTGTACAAAGTAGCCTGTCCAGGAAATATGCCCAAATCAACAAAAACTGCGAGCCGGCAGGCAAGACGCTCCGCTTCTGAAATGCTTCTGAAACGCGCCTGGTAGGGTATAGAGTGGCGAAGTCACGCCCATCTACTTCCGCCCCATGGGACCTTATTTCGGAAAAATAATGTATTGAAGTCAATGGAGAGAGAAAACTTATCTTTCGATCCCGTTTGAATTGTGCCATGAATTACACATATGATGTTTGTCAATCTTAAAAAATCATTTCCATGTCAAAAAAGTCACAGTTTGTCGTAAAACTGTTGAAATATAAGACTATGAAAAATACGCAACTAGAAAGACTACAAATCCCAGAGTCGCGTAAGTGATGTCACAATTGAGACACTACGATATACGTATAATACCGTATATATACGATCAGCGCCATATAGATAGAATCTATCTATATGGCGCTGGCTAAGATAAGATAACTTTCACAAGATGCCTGTGTGCTTAGTACCAGGTTGTTATTATACCAGCAATGGGTCTTGCTCGTTCTTTCGCTTCCCGTCTGATGAAAGAGGAGTGTGTGGATCAAGCTAGCTAGTAGCTAGCACGTTAGTTAGCATTACAGCCTTGTCATTTGTATTAGCCTTAACATGAAGTAACATTAAGTAACCCAAAATGTTAAACAGTAAGAGTAGTAGTCATATTTCGTGAACCCTTTGAAGAGTACTGTCACCGGTGTGATCATTCTATAATACACCATTTAAGCCCGGGGGAGAAATGCTAACGCTAACGCTAGCGATCTTCTCTACTTCATGCTATCTGCACAAATGGTTGACATTAAACATTAAAACGACCAGGCAGTTCAGAGAGAATCAAAGGAAGGCAGGCAGGCAGCTTTGCATGACATTCTTCAGGACGTGTTTCATTGTGGTGATAGTGAGGGTAGTCAATCGTTTTGTTGACAAGACAGTAGTGACGGCCATCTTGGTGACGTGTGTTGTTGACCAGAGATGTAGTTCATTGAGCGTTTCACACAAACAAATGTGTTACTTCACAGTTTTACGACACATTTTTTTTTTTTGACTTGCAAAATTATCTTTTAAATTGACAAACATCATATGTGTAATTCGTGGCACAATTCAAACGGGATCGAAAGATAATCTTTCTCTCTCCATTGACTTCAATACATAATTTTTCCGAAATAAGGTCCCATGGAGGTCCACCGGAAGGGGAGGGACTTCGCCACTCTATGACGCCGGAGGAGGCCGGACCAAAACCGCGGCGCAGCCGTGACGCGGCGCAGACGGACCCGGTGGAATCTAGGGGTAATCCCTCGATTCCACCGGGTCCGTCTGCGTCGCGTCACGGCTGCGCCACGGTTTTGGTCCGGCCTCCTCCGTGCTGGCTCGCAGTTTTTGTTGATTTGGGCATATTTCCTGGACAGGCTACTTTGTACAGACAAAGTTAATGATAATTGTAATATTCCAGTTATAAACAACATGAATCAAAGATGTGTTGCTGCTGTATTTTTGTTGTAAAAAAATGCATTCATCATCATAATCTTTCTATATATATAATTTACACAGTGCCTGTAAACCGGAGGAGAACGCTGGCATTTCTCCTCCTACTTGAAAGACTACGGAGGGATAGGGTCTGCAAAATTAGTTTATTTTGGGGATTGACTGGATGCTCTGACCGGTCCACTTCCTGCCCGGCGCTATGCAACGCCTCACGTCGCGTCGAAAATAGACTTGAATCCTATTTTGAGCGGAGCCCAGCGCCGAGACGCTTCTGGGACGCTTCTGAGCGGCTCATAAGCGTCCTAGAAGCGTCTCGGCGCAGTGGTGGTCGGGGAGTCATCAAAGCGCAAGACGCTGTTCCAGTCCATGTTTGGTGATGATGAGGCGGGTTGCAACTTGCTGTCATTATGCCCGACTCGGTGGGCTGTAGGCACAAGGGCGATTTCACGGGTTGTCTACTCATATACAGCCCTTTTGCAGACACTGAAGATGCTTAAGCAAGACAAGACAGTCAGGGGAGATACTCGGGCAAAAGTATCTGGTCTATACAAACAAGCCACAAAAGACAAAACATACTTTGGCCTTTTGTGCTGTGAGGCTCTTTTTGGACCATGCGAGACCATAGCCAGAGCTCTCCAAAGTGAGAAGGCAAGTGCGAAGGGGGCACTGGAGTGTGTGAGTGCGCTACGACAGCGCATGCATGGACTGAGAGAAGATGGATTTATCCAGGAAATGACTGCCTGTATGCATATTTCTTTATTTTGTATTGTGTTTTAAGCCAGTACAGCACTTTGGACCACATACGTTATTTTGAAATGTGTTATACAAAAATATTTAAAGGGTTAAATTGAAGGCAAATGTCGACATTACTCACCCGTAGTTAACAAGCTATGCTATGCACGTGCCCGTAATACAAACCCATCTCTGCAGGCATCATAAAGATATGAGGCTGCTCTGATTTCCCAGTTTGTAACTCTTGCCTATTCTCTTCATGTCTTAATCCCTCTCACATGAGATGGGAGAAGAGGAGGAGACACCTCGAGAGACGAGTTGAGGCAACAGACATTCAATGAAATTAGATATCATGACAATCCTACCTAGCACCCTAATGTCCAGGACACACATGATGCCTAAGCTGCACGTGTGCTTAGCATTATGGCTTATGCTTTTTATCTGGGCATCCATAGAAACATGTCAGAGCAGCCACAGTTTCCACATGAGCAGCACAAGTCATGCCTATTTTTTCTTCTGTGAGACCCACGTGGTTCTCTGCAAAAATATACCCGGCAACAACCTGTAAAAAGTCTTATCACCATGTTTCATTACAGATGTAATGTATTTATCTGCACGTTTTAAATTATTTCTAGTTTAATGAGAGAAGCTGGTACATTTTCATTATGATCATGGTCTTAAATAAATACGATAAGTTGTTGCGTTAACACTGATATGAGAAACATAGCAATATGTCTACTGTCAGCAGCTTAAAAACATTATTTTCACACTACCTGAATTTCATTCACTTAAGAACTACCTGATTGAATTATAATACGAGGGAAATTCAATGAATGTTATTAATTTCTTGCAAGTAAGGCCAAAAATAAGTCTTCCTTCAAATTAATTCTGTAAATGTTCCCTTGTATTATTTTCAACATTTGCAGTGTGGTTTGCTGCACAACAAGCTGGGACAACTTCTGCTCGTCCTGTAACCCCGGTGGAAAACATTCCACCAGCCCCCCAGAGCCAGAGCCAGAGCCAGAGCCAGAGCCAGAGCCAGAGCCAGAGCCAGAGCCAGAGCCAGAGCCAGAGCCAGAGCCAGAGCCAGAGCCAGAGCCAGAGCCAGAGCCAGAGCCAGAGCCAGAGCCAGAGCCAGAGCCAGAGCCAGAGCCAGAGCAAGAGCCAGAGCCAGAGCCAGAGCCTCCTCCCTCCCCCTTCTCTTCTCATCCACCTCCTCCATGCCCCCTCTCCTCCCAGCCTCCACCTTCCAAAAAAAGTCGAAGAGGTTCGATGTGCACTATACTAAATACATTTTTTTAAATGATTGTTTGGAAGACTTATTACCTAATTATTAAAATTGTGTTTTTTATTTTTAGAATGCAGGAAACACAGGACCCAGAAGGTTTTCTTGTATGAAAGCATTGTGGACAGAAGAGTTTTAAATGTAAGTATGTTCTAATTTCTTCCTTTTTGTTTTTCTTGTTAAATAACATAAAAACGTACAGAACATTATTGGTACCGTCTACAGACCATCAGTGAGATATCTGCACAGAGCCCAAACGATACTAACATATAACCGCCTCTGGATACACAAGTATCCACTATCGTACATGTATGGAGCGGTGAGGTTCCTCAATCCATGCTCGACACTGCACCTTTTGTTGTCATTGTAAGCATTACAGGACTACGTTTTGCATCACCTTATAACCTTTTGTTGTAGGAAACTCCCAGTCTTAAAGAAGCTGCTCCATACTGGTACGATAGTGGATTCTTCTGTCTCTCTGGTTTCAGATGCTGTTGTCTGTTAGTATCGTTTATGTGTAGAAATCTAACCTTATTCATGGTCTATAAATGGTATCAATAATGTTCTGTAAAGTTGTATCACCTAACTTTGGAAAGTACTCATTACTATTTGCGTCCTTGTCATGTCATGCCTTTCAGCAAAGTGAAGAAGTACAAATTAGGTGGGCACCATGCTCCGAGTGGTAAGTTCTTCCTTAATGACATGTATGTGTTGTACTGGAAGCAAATGGTTTATACACTGATGCAGTGTTTCAAATCCTATTTTAAATTGACTTACTTGGCTGATT